ACATCGTGCCAACGCCGCTCAATCCAGCAGTGGAGAGAGAGAGAGAGAGCAAAAGCCGAGCGACACGCCGAGCGAGGGAGCAGCAGGAGCTGTTCGTATCCTCCCACACCACATAAGCTAACGACACAATTAATATTACGAGAGGACAACGCACACACAGCACGCACACGAATAAGACTTTCAAAAAGTGATCTTTGCGTTTCAAAAAGGGTTGCCATTTCGAGGTGGTGCGTTCAATATCAACTGATCGTGCAAAGCAGTTGCTGCCGTCGAGTTGCATGAATAAGAAATGTTTTAGTCATTCATTTTCGTTAACTGCATAATTTCGCCAATGAAGAAGTATTTTTAGTCATTCAATTTCGTTAATTGCATAAGATTGCCCATGAATTTATTGACGTATACTCGCTTTCGCATACTAGAGTGTCATGTGCTTGTTTAGAATTAAAATTGCTTAACACCAACTGTTCGAGTGCTTCTTTCCAAGTCCATGCAAAACTGTCTTATTCTTGACAACTGTATCCTGTGATGAGATCTGAACCTGGAGAATTAAAATAATATAAACACACTAAGATAATCAGTAAATGTTTAATCGACGATAATCGTGTTATCCTGATTGATATAACCCTGGATTAACGAAACCAAGCCTAATTAACATAACTGCACACATTAACATAATCGCAAACATCTGCATAAATTACTACGATTATCATAATTTATGCATATAATTACACGCATTATCATAATTTATGCGTATTAATACACACACTATCATAATTAATGCGATTTGCGCATTTTTCGGAAAATTTTTAATTTTTTTATTTTTATCAAATTTCATAATACCAACACATACAACATCATGCACGCAATGCGCGCAGAGGAAGCCGCCTGCGAGGGGGTCCAACCCTCCGCTGCAGTCCATAAAAGTTTCCCGGGTTAACGAGCTCGTCGCTCTGGACATACTTGGCCCATTTCCCGCTACGCCCAGGGGCAATAGGTATTTACTAACGGGGGTTGAATACTTCACGAGATGGCCTATGGCCTGGCCCCTGGCGAACCAGTCGGCAGCAGCCATCGCGGAGGCCTTTGTCCAGGGCTATGTCCTCGACAAAGGTGCTCCGGAACGGCTGCTTACTGACCAGGGTAGGAATTTTTCTGGTAAACTCCTACGTGAGGTGTGCGACCTCTTGGGTACGGAGAAGGTTCGGACCTCTCCGTATCACCCACAAACTGACGGGATGGTGGAACGGCTGCATCGGACCATCACGTCCATGCTGTCCCAGCAGGTGTCGATATCCCAGACGGATTGGGACCTCCGTATAGCCGGTGTGTTGCAGGCCTACAGAATGGCTCCCCATGCGGCCACCGGATTTTCCCCTTTCTTTTTGATGTATGGGCGCGAAGTTCACCCCCCTGTGGCGACCCAGCTGAAGCTCTCTGCGCCCCAGGCGAAGTCTAACTTGTCCGAACACGTTAAATTTAACATCGCTAAATTGTCTGAGGCGCGGGAAGCGGCCGTGCAAAATTCCGAACTCCGCCAGAAGGCGAACGAGAGGCTTCGGTTGGGGCGGGTGCAGGTGGTCAAATGGAAACCAGGGGACAGGGCGTGGTTGCACTGTCCTCAGGTGCCGCTGGCAACCTCGTCGAAATTGGTACGGCCGTGGCGGGGGCCAGTGGAGGTCGTGCAGGTTTTGCGGCCGCAATGTGTTCGCGTCAAATGGGGGAGGCGCCGGTGGTATGTGCACCCCTCAAGGTTAAAACCATTCGTCACGCCGCCCCGTGGTTCACACACACACACGCATGGCCAAACGTGTGAGGGTGTCGCCGACTCCCCGTCGTCGCTGCACTCGCCTAACCTGACGCCAGCTGTTCCGTCCCCAGGTGAAACAGGAGTGACGGGCCCACGCCCACCAACCCCTCCCGGAGGGGTCGGGGGTCACTCGGCAGCGACGCCTGACCCTCTTGCACCCGGACCGTCTACAACCGTCACTGAGCGTGCCGGGACGGGCCCTTGTGACGGGCCCGCCGCGAGAACGCGCGCCAAAACGTGCAGACTTTTGTGAGGTCGGCCGTTGGGGGGCCTTGCGGACAAAAAGGGAAGGGGTGTTGTGAGGTCGGCCGTTGGGGGGCCTTGCGGACAATGGGAAAGGTGGCGTCCGGAGCGTATATATATGTTGGTTTTGGGGTATTTATCCGGGGAGGGTGCGTCGGGTTATTTTTTTTTCTCTCTCTCTCTCTCTTCCTCTTGTTGTTCTTGTTGAGGTTTTCTTGTTCTTGTTAAAAATTACGCGAGGCACACACACGGGGTTTTCGTGAGGGATGCACCTTTATTCTGATTTTTTTTTTGCAGCCGGGGACGGCTGCGAGCTGTACAGGGAGGGGTGATGTAGAGGTGTAATTGCACATGGCTACGAATGTTGAGGCGTGATTATGCATGGCCACGGATGGCCAACAAACACAAGGGGCGGGGTTACGGCCGTACACAAGGGTGGCGCTCGCACCGACGTCCGCATGTGTATCCCCCACGGGCCCCCCCTTGGGGGCAAGTCCTATAAAAGGTGATGAGCCGAAAGGCTCGGGAGTCGGGACTCAGCTTTAACCAGAGAAGAACGAAGACCTGCCAGTATAGGCCCCGGAGCTCCCCTGGCTCGCTGTCCTTCTAAGGGCCGACCAGGGCAAGCCGGTGGCGTGGCCCCGAGAGCCCAGACGAAGCTGGTCTGGTGACTCAGGGAGCCGGGATCCCAGCTTAACCAAGCTGGGACAGATAGCCTCCCCTAGTCCCGTAGTGGAGGAGTTGGTATAGGCTAGAGGGGTTAGCTGTCGAGAAATCCCTGTAGCCAAGTGACCTGTAATAACTGTGTTGGTGTAATAAATAAGTGTGCCTCCGATCCTGTCGTCAAGCCTCCATATATACTTACTACACTCTTATAAAACTCAACGTTTAACCTACTCACGCCGGCTTGTGCCCGCCCTCACAGTCGGGCATATTTGCGGAATACACCACACCGCCGTTGACCCTGGCCATTGACCGAGCAACCCAACGTTCCTACCAGCTCCCTCCGCAGGACAATGTGTTAAATTGTGTTGTTTTAGGCCCATATATGGTGTAATTGAGCGTGGCTCTGCCCATATAAGGAATATACTGAAATGGGAATCTACGTGTTTTCAACGAGCTCGATGAAACGGGGCCCCGTTCGAGCACGTCCCAAGTGATTCCTGCCACGTGATTTCCGGATCTAAAGAGACGAGTTGTGGATGGCGGGGAGGCCGCCTTCTTCACGCTTCTACCGGCTTCCTCTTCTGCGTTAAAGTCACTTGATCTTCCAACTCTGTCGCGGATTCGTGTGTCCTGCTGCAGAGATTTTTTCCGTTCGTCAGCAGTTGGGGCCCGTGGATATTGCATCCATCTGTGCGGTGTTAGCGCCCTCTCGTGTAAAAACATCTATAATGCGTGATTTATTTATTTGTTTTCATTTTTATTTATTTTTTACCTACGTGACTTTACCGAAAAAACAGAGTATGGATCCTTGCAGTCACGAAAACTTCAAATCTAGAATTGGGTTTCGTTCTTTTGCCTCCCACACAAATGCCGCAAGGTCCATTGCCCGAAACGTCGCACGTAAAATGTCCTTCCCTTTCTATGTTTGTGCGTTAACCTTTGGTGGCATCGATGAATGTTTTGTAGGGCACTGATTAGTCCATGGGGTTCAATAAGTGCCGCCGTACGAGTGGCGAACAGATGACGAAACGCACTGCCAGGACGTCCACGAAGCCATCGCGTGCATGATAGGTTCCCACCAGATAACATTCAACAATCCCGTCGACGCAAATTAATTCCACCTCCTGGACACCACCACACAGGCAGCTGAGGGCCTTTCATGATGCCCCCCCTGAACCCCCCCCCCCCTCGAAACCTCGTGGGAAATGACTGCGCCACGTGCCTCTAAAATTCGCCATCTTTGCTCAATCCACCACCCAATGACTCGCTCACCCATCTTCACTCGACCACTCAAGCGATTCACCCACCCACCGTCTCAATCATCCACTCACCCTCTCGCTCACCCACTCATTAATTCACCCACCCACCGTCTCAACCATCCACTCACCCTCTCGCTCACCCACTAATTCACCCACCGTCTCAATCATCCACTCACCCTCTCGCTCACCCACTCATTAATTCACCCACCCACCGTCTCAACCATCCACTCACCCTCTCGCTCACCCACTAATTCACCCACCGTCTCAATCATCCACTCACCCTCTCGCTCACCCACTCATTAATTCACCCACTGTCTGATTCACCCACTCACTGATTCACCCACCCACCTCACCATCTTCACTCACCCACCCATCTCACTCAAGTCAACCGACTCAACTCTTGCGAATTAGCCTCCTGCCCCAGTGTCTCCGCCGTTATCTCACGCGTGGCTTAAACACAAAATAATCCAGCACGTGGAACTTTCTCATAATCTCAACTCAATAATCTAACCACTCTGCCCGCCATCTCACCCAGCCACGAGACTTCTCTCCTGCTCTCAGAGACCTCACCTGCGGGACAATCTAGTCGTTGTAGACGTTTTATTGCTGTTGTTCTTGATATTATTAAACGATGTAAATCCGTGAGTTTTTCAGTGTTAGAACGTAAGCAGATGCCACGTGGTCTATGCCCCAGTGGGCGTGGTCTATGCCCAAGTGGGCGTGGTCTATGTCCCAGTGGGCGTGGTCTATGTCACTGTGGGCGTGGTCTATGCCACTGTGGGCGTGGTCTATGCCACTGTGGGCGTGGTCTATGCCACTGTGGGCGTGGTCTATGTCACTGTGGACGTGGTCTATGTCACAGTGGGCGTGGTCTATGTCACTGTGGGCGTGGTCTATGCCCCAGTGGGCGTGGTCTATGCCACTGTGGGCGTGGTCTATGCACCAGTGGGCGTGGTCTATGCCTCTGTGGGCGTGGTATATGCCTCTGTGGGCGTGGTCTATGTCACAGTGGGCGTGGTCTATGCCTCTGTGGGCGTGGCCTCGCTCGTCCACTTCCGTTCCGCTCGCTCGGCTCGCTGTTGAGCTCCGCGATGATATCCGACTTCCTCCTGTTTGGGTAAACAACCCTCTGCCTACTCCTCCTCCCCCGCCTCCTCCTCCTCGCCGTCATCATCTTCTTCTTTGCCACCTCGCCAAATCCCCCACCATTATCTCTCTCTCGTCTCTCCACGCTGTCCGCGATCACATCCGCCTTGCCACCTCTCCGGGCAGATCAACCCTCTGCCTACTCTTCCTCCTCCTCCTCCTCACCATCATCATCATCACCATCTTCTCGCACCACCTCGTCTCACCTCCTCCCCTCTGTCTCTCGTCTGCCGCAGGACGCTGCTGGTGAACGCGGGTGCGGTGCTCAACTTCAAGCTGTGAGTCGTCTACGGGCACGAGCAGGAGGAGGCCTCGGTTGTGTTGTTGTTGATGCTCTTGTTGTTGATGATACCGTTGTTGTTGTTGTTGATGATGCTGTTGTTGTTGATGCTGTTGTTGCTGCTGTTGTTGATGATACCGTTGTTGTTGTTGTTGATGATGCTGTTGTTGTTGATGCTGTTGTTGTTGCTGTTGTTGTTGATGTTGTTGTTGATGTTGTTGATGATGCTGTTGTTGATGTTGTTGATGTTGTTGTTGTTGTTGCTGTTGTTGTTGATGTTGTTGTTGCTGTTGTTGTTGATGTTGTTGTTGATGTTGTTGGCTTAACACGTAGTCAGGCTTTCGCGAGCGACATCAACCGTAATGTTTTGTTCTATGTTGTTGGGGGTTAGGTCGCGTACATTGATGTGTCGTTAAACCCGTCACCACCCGACACGGCCGCTAAGTGACGCGTCTGGCTGTCGCCTGGTGAAGCTGGTTGTGATTACTGGCGAAACGTCGGACTCGGATTGTAAATGTCGTGGCTTGGCTCTCCAACACACCGGTGTGGTACACTACACTATACACTACACTATACACTACACTACACAATGCACTACACTATACACTACACTATACACTAGTGCTGTACTAGTACACTACACTATACACTACACACTAGTGCTGTACTAGTACACTACACTACACACTACACTATACACTACACTATACACTACACACTACACTATACACTACACATTACACTATACACTACACTATACATATACTACACTATACACTATACTACACTATATACTACACATACACTACACATACACTACACACTATACACTACACACTATACACTACACTATATACTATACACTACACTATACACTACACTACATACTAGTGCTGTACTAGTATACTACACTATACACTACACTATACACTACACTACATACTGGTGCTGTACTAGTGACGAATTGGCCCCATTCTGTGTACGTGACGACCCTCACTAGTTGGCTGTTTCACGACACATTTATGAACGCGATCTAACACAAACAAAGCCTATTATTGTGCTGTTGTTGATGTTGTTGATGAGTGGGGAGCGGTGGCGCAGCGGTTAGCGCTACGAACCCCGGGGCGACCCGAGTTCGATTCCCGCTCACGGCCACCAACGCCGGCGATGATCCTGTGCCTCCCCTAGGTCGACTCAGCCCCAAATGAGCACCTGGTGTGGTGTGGAAAAACATCCACCACGAGGGGAGGCGAAGGCGGCCGGGCCCTCCCCTAGGTTGACTCAGCCTCAAATTGGTACCTGGTGCGGTGTGTGTAAAACATCGACCACGAGGGAGACAAAGGCGCCGGGCGTGGTGCTGGCCACCCACCCCCTCGTGTGCCACAATGCCGGCCTTCATAGCTGCTGCTGCTACTCGCTATAGCAGCACTTGCCCCAACAGTCTGTTAAGGCTACACGGTGGATATTTGTCTTTGTTGTTGATGTCCGGATTATATGACGCTACCACCCAACCAATGTTTTAGAATGTTGGGCTGGGGAGGGGAGTCCCTCTTAGAATCTCGTGCGTGTCAAATCGACCTTCGTGTCATCACACGGATGCAGGGCGTCTTATAGTCGCCAGCGTGTGTGTGTGTGCGTGCGTGTGTGCGTGCGTGTGTGCGTGTGTGCGTGCGTGTGTGCGTGCGTGTGTGCGTGCGTGTGTGCGTGTGTGTGTGCGTGTGTGCGTGCGTGTGTGCGTGCGTGCGTGTGTGCGTGTGTGTGTGCGTGCGTGTGTGTGTGCGTGTGTGCCCGGGTGCGATCAAGGGATGGCTCCCTATTGGTCAACCACGTTATGTATGCCGATGATTTGGTAATAGCTGCTCATTCAGAAGAGGAGTTGGAGGCGCTGCTGCTGAGACTGGAGCGTGCCACTAAGAGGTGGGGCCTTACCATCAGCCCCACCAAAACCAAGCACCTGCCTGGGTATTTTGTACCATCGGACACTCCACCCCCACAACTCCCAATTGGTGATGGGGCAGTTGTGGAGAGAGTGGAGAGTTTCCCATACCTGGGCAGTGTGCTTATGACCGGCTCCAGTCTATCAGCAGAGGTCTCACTCCGAATCAGTCGAGCGGCAATATCTTTTCATCGGTTGCGTAACGCTGTGTGGAAGCTACCTGGTCTGTCGCTCCGCACGAAGCTTCAGGTCTTCTCGGCCACGGTCATTCCCTCCCTTCTCTACGCTTGCGAGACGTGGACCCCCCTGGTGGAGCATCTTCGCCGGTTGGAAACATTTAGGCTGGCCTGCCTGCGATCCATCCTGGGTTTAACCAGGCTGGATTGTGTGAGGAGCTCACAAATCCTTGAAAGATCTGGGCAAAGTCCCATCAGTGAGCTCCTCCGGCAGGCAAGGCTGCGTTGGCTGGGTCATGTAGCCCGCATGCCCAGCCACCGCATGCCTAAACAGCTTTTGTTCGGCCGGATCGAGGGGGCTAGACGGGCGCGGCACGGGCTGGAGAAGAGATGGAGTGATGTGGTACAGGAGGACGTGGAGCTGAGTGGACTTGCCGATGACTGGTACCAGCGGTGTCAAGATCGGCCTCAGTGGAGGAGGCTCGTGAAGGACGCTACTGGGCAGTTGGAGGCAGTCGCCCTCCAACAACAACGGAGGGCGGAGGAGCGACGCTCACAACAACGAGCGGAGCGCCGGGTGGCTAAAGCACAGCAAGTTGGCACAGTAGGGGGCACAGGTGGTGCATCAGCCAGTCATCTTGGTCATCTCGGTCAGTCGACCAGTGGCATCTGGGTCTGCCCCGTGACCTCCTGCCAGCGGGCTTTCGACACTTCACGTGGCCTCAAGGTGCACTTGGCCTGGCACAAGCATCGTGGTGACGTCACCGCCACTTAGTGGCGAATGGCGGTTGTTGTTGTTGTTGTTGTGTGCGTGCGTGTGTGCTGAACGGGTGGGAACATCATGCCCCCCCTGGTTACTAGCACGGGCTTTTCTTGGTGTTTCCACCCGTGGTGCACCTGGCCTGGCGGATATTGGTACATCACGTGCTGCTCGATGATGGGAACACCGCGCTGCATTTGTATCGTTCACTGCGCCATCAAAGACAAACCGCCCACAGTCCACCTCTTTTCCACTGGCACGTCCGAGCCGTGCCGAGCCAAGCCAGCCCCGGCAGGGCTCACGAGGCCGCCAGATTGTTTTTCGACTGCAGAAGCCGAGCCGTGCCGCGCACGCCTTAACAGACTGTCGGGACAAGTGCTGTTAGCGAGTAGCAGCGCCTGTGGAGGCTGCCACTATGGCACGCCTTTGTCTCCCCCACCGGGTACTCAGTTAAGGCTGAGTCGACCTATGGGAGGCCCAGGACCGATTTATGTGGTGTTGGCCGTGAGCAGTGCGCTCACCGCTATACCATCGCCCCCTGCAGCATCGCGTCATTCGCCACTAAGTGGCGGTGACATCACCACAGCGCATGTGCCAGGCTAGGTGCACTTTGAGGCCACGTGAACTGTCGAACACCCGCCGACGAGGTCACAGGATTGACCCGGGTGCCTTGGGTTGACTGAGATGACTGTGCCCCCTCCTGTGCCAACTTGCTGGGTTTTCTCCGCTCGTTGCGAGCGTCGCTCCGCTGCCCTTCCGTTGTTGCTGTAGTAGCGTCCTTCACGAGCCCCCTGCACAGCATCGCATCTCCCACAGTGCGACACACACACAGCGCCTATCGCACGCCGTCAATTGTCAAGGCTACGGGGGGGGGGGTGCCTCATTCACCGGTATGCTGGATTGGTTTCATGAGCCAAAGTCCCCATCTGGTGGCTTCTGCAGGCATTTCATTGTCGCGTTTCCACCACCACGGGTCAGCCCTGTGCATAGACCTGGCAGAGTCGGCGCCGCAGTGCCTATGAGATGTTAACTACCTCGCCCGGTGTACAGGAGGTCGTGGGTTCGATCCCGACCCTGACGCCTGCTGCTGCTGTACATTGTGAGTCGGCGTGTCTCTCTCCCCGTGGTGGTCGCCACGTGGATTTTTCTCCGTGTCCTCCGGTTTTCTCCTCGACATTTCGAGCTCCATCGCTCAGGGGGCCTCACCTGGCAATACAACACACAGGCCAGTGCAGATTCCCCCGCTGCACATCTCGACCGGGCAGAGCCTCGACACCGACAACTGTGGAACACATTGTGCGAAATATTGAAAACTTTCCCGCGAAAAAATTCTACTTCGGGGCGCTGCCTTGATTTATACTGCAGCTGCGCAAACCAAAATAATATGGATCATCTGCATCATAGTATGTATGTACAGCGATACCTCGGTTCACGAACTTAATTCGTGAACTGACTCTGGTCGTGAACCGAATTGGTCGTGAACCGAGGCACATTTTCCCACAGGGTTCAATGTAAATCTGGTTAATCCGTTCTGACCTTTTTCTTTGGTTTTTGAAGCACAAAAATACAAACAAATGACAATACACATTACTGTAGTAGTGTACAGTATAGTAATGTATAAAGAGAGAACACTAACCTTGCTTGAGATGACTTCTGGCATGGAGGAAGGCAGGTGGGAGGCGGGTGTCACCTGCATTGCTGTTCTTGTCACCTTCATTGCTGCTCCGCACTTTCTTCTTTCCACCATGCTTCTTGGGAGCCATATTGGGAGTCCAGTACAGTAAGCACTCAAACGGGTGAACTGTACAATACAGTAAGTACAGTATTGTACAGTACAGTAGTACAGTACTGTATGTGCTAAAAAGCACACCAAAAATCAAAAAGTCACTGAAAGTGTCTTCACAGTACTCCTTTCTGTGTCTCTGCTTCTCTCCACGATCTTCCTACAGGAAGTCACGACCATGTGACAGCCTGGAATTAGCATAAAAATGGCCGCGGCTCCTGTTCGTGAACCGAAGCGGAGTTCGTGAACCGGAGCATATTTTTATGAAATTTTCTGTTCGTGAACCGAGTTGTTCGTGAACCGGAGCGTTCGTGAACCGGAGCGTTCGTGAACCGAGGTATCACTGTATGCTCAACTTATTTTGCATTCTACGTAGCCAACCGTGCTAATTGGAGCTCCGGGGGAAGGACAACAAACTAAACACAATCCGTTCTAAAGAAATTACTTTTCAATCGAGATGATTTAAAAGTGCATAGCTCCATTGGCTTCCTAATATTGGACGGAAGAGCGTTCCAGACGGCCGCAGAAGCGCATCTGAACGCGCGTGATGTGGTGACCACCACAACTTAACACATTCCTGCGGAGGGAGCTGGTAGGAACGTTGGGTTGCTCGGTCAATGACCAGGGTCAACGGCCAGGGCGTGGTGTATTCCGCAAATATGCCCGACTGTCGCTGCTAAAGGGACAGCCGGCGTGAGTAGGTTAAACGTTGAGTTTTATAAGGGCACCACGGGGTGACCAGCCCCTCCCCACCCAGCCCCTCCCCACCCAGCCCCTCCCCACCCTCCCCACCCAGCCCCTCCCCACCCTCCCCACCCAGCCCCTCCCCACCCTATCCCTCCCCACCCTCCACACACAGACCCTCCTCCACCCTCCACACACAGGCCCTCCCCACCCTCCCATCTCCACCCAGCCCCACCCCTCCCATTTTTGGATGCACGACGGACGGACACAATAATCCCCTGTGGGCTGGTGGAACCAGGTGGTTCCTACCAGTACAAACACAAAACGTAGCAACATCACTCCCTGCTGGCAGACTTTATACGGCCCATCACCCCGTGTGCCACGTGGGGTTGATTGGGGTTTGGCAGGTTCTATAGGCCGTGACGTAAGATGATGATGGTATCTCGTGCGACGAAAGCTCCACGCTAGTTCAGGGTTAAGAACTTAACAACAAACGGTACAAAACCACGATAGCTGTGCAAAGTACAAGAAAAGTAAAAAGATTCCCCAAAAACAAAGAAATACAAACGAAGCCATCCCCGTCCTACCAGACAAGGCCCACTGAGGATTTAACTTATTTTTCAGAAGCGACCTGGCCACACACCGTGTTTATCCTGAGAAACAAACCTGAGACTCGGTGAGGTCTTCTCTGCGTAAGACGGACGCCATGGTGAAAGCTGCGGAGCAGGGGAGTTTAAAATGTCAATCTTCTCCGTGGTTAGGAAACGAAAGGAGTCGGTGCAAGGGTTCGGAGCAGATACGGTGGAGCACACAACCGGTGAGCCGCACGCACACACAGGATCACCACAACGCCCTTGACCACGCACAAAGATCCCCCGTGTAGCCTTAACAGGATGTTGGGGCAAGTGCTGTTAGCGAGCACCTATGACGGCCGGAAGGGCACACGTGGGGGTGGGTGGCCAGCACCACGCCCGACCACCTTTGTGTCCCAAGTGGCGATGTTTACACACCGCACCGGGTACTCGTTTGAGGCCGAGTCGACCTAGGGGAGGCCCAGGACTGGAATCGAACTCGGGTCACCGCGTTTGGAGTGCGGCGCGCTAACCGCTGCACCACCGCTCTCCGCACACACACACACACGGACCACCCTCTCGTGTGCCGTGCCGCCCTGAATAGATGCTCGCTTTACAACACATGCCTCCCACGGGCTTGTGTGGTAGGCCATACGGGGAGGGGGATCTTGATATCTGTGTTGCGCGTGCGTGTGTCCGTGTGCAGGCGATGGCATTCGCGAGTTTCTGCTGAGTCTGCGCTACTTCCGGATATTCATCGCCATGTGGAACATCCTCATGATGCTGTGCATGGTCGTGTGAGTTCACGCCGCAAAACGTGATGAGTAGAGAAAAAGTTAAAGTGATTTCGCTGATCACCGAGTCAGAGGGGGGGGGTACAGCCTGCGACTCGCAGTCAGAAAAGGTCGCAAGTTCAAATCCTGGTTGGGGGTTTGACTTGGCCCCATCATCCTTCCAGGGTCATTAAAACGGTACCACTTTATGGGGCACTCTCACATCATGGTTGTTACATGGCTATACTCGCCCCGTCCCCCCGTCGTAGGAATGTGGAATTTCCACCACTGGCTTGAAGCTGTAACCAGGAGATGAGCGCCCAGCGGTAGCACCTATGTCACTTGTTGCAGTGTTTTGCTGTTCGAATCCTGCAGGCCGTCCTGGTTAATACCGCGGCGTGGCGGACCACGTTTTAAAATGTTATTTATTATTGGGGAAACGTGCAGCAATCGAAACATATTAATCTGCCAGGAACACGAGCATAACAATATCTATATTTTATTATTATAATAATAATGCCTGCCTTCATAAGAAAGCATTGTAGACGTTTCGAGTTAAAGCTTTCGTGACTGCAGGGATTCATCTTCTTGGTTCTTTCGGTAAAGTCACGTAGAAGGGAAATAATAAAATAAAAAATAAAAACATTATAAAAAAATAATAGTATTTTAAAGTAATTATATTATTTTATTATGTTTACATTTTATTTATTATTTCCCTTCTACGTGACTTTACCGAAAGAACCAAGAAGACATTGTAGATGTGTAACGGAATCACGGTGGCCGGCTAGAGGCGCTTGACGGTTGCCGGCTATAAAATGATTGGGCTCTCCCCCCCCCCCCCCCCCCCCCCCCATGTTGTGTTCGTTTCGTTCCAGGCTGTTTGGTTCGTAGCGGAGACGTGGGTGCCATCACCCTCCGGCCCCGTACCCTCTACTCCTCTTGCCGATTTCGCCGAGCCTCTCCCGGTTCCCCCCCCCCCCAAACGCCCTCACCCAGTTACATTTGGCGCCACCAAACACCCAGCCAGCCCGGAAATGTCCGGTGCCGATTTTGGCTTTCCTCGCTTTTACCGAATACAATAGGGGGCCCGCTCGCAGCTGCACCTTCTGAAGAAGATGAAGGATTCTTTTTCTTGGACCAAACGCCGTCAGAATCGTGGCGTTTCGCCGGGCTGAGTGGCACGGTTAACGCAAGTCGACGATGAGAAGTTGCTGTCTGCGAGGCTTTTCATTTCGATGTCTTTTCGCGCGCAAGATTAGAATAGAAGCAGCCAACGTAATCCTACGCACGTGACCGCTAATCCGCATCCCTCTTGAAGACCCCTCTCGTCACCTCTCTCATCTCTTGTTTATGAATTATGTCCGTTCCGAACTGCCTAACGCAATTCAATCCACCAGACAGTTGTTGCGATGCCCACTCGGCTGGGTCGTCCCAGCCGCTCACCCCGTGAGTTGGCGAAGCCTCGGTCATTACTTAAATACAAAAGCCAAACTAAAACTCGTGGCGGGCGGCAGAGGGCGGTGCGGCGCAAACCAGTTGCTGTACTGCACTTCTATGCTTCCATGTTCAAGTGGATGCCGAGTAACCGTCACAGGGGGCGATGGGGAGGGAATTGATTCCACGGTGTGGTAAGTGGGTTGGTGGGTGAATCAACGAGTGAAGTTTACGGGACGGCCATCATTCTAGCGGCGTTAGCAAAGTGGTGACGAGGTGACTGACCACCGGCGAGTCACTGGAGTGAATTGGCGAGTGCCAGATCATCAATTCTTATCTGGCAACGGCAAGATGGGAGGGCTGTCGAGGTTCCATCTTCAATTTAGGTGAAAGAGACGCGTGAAACACCGAAAGCTTCCGTCGTTCGACGCGACCGTAACGCACCATCGTTTGACGCGCGTTGAGCCGCTTGCGTGGTGGTGACGGTGGTGGTGGTGGTGGTGACAGTGGTGACGGTGACGGTTTTCCCGGCGTACTTTTGTGTTGCAGCTGTCCCTTCAGCAGCGACTACCTTTGAGGTCAATAAACGAAACTCCCGAGATGCGTTCATGCCGCACACGTTGATCCGCGACCCACGTCACAATTGGCCCGGTGGCTCAGCAGAATCGCAATGGGTAACGGGTGGAGAAGTTCAACTCCTGGCTGGCGGTTCTTGGCTCGTCACATCGGCCGGATTGCGCTGGGATAGGTGACCACCATCCATGAGACTCCGGTGGTTTAGGTGTTGTAGGTTTAGTTGTAGGATTAGGTGTTGTAGGTTTAGGTGTTGTAGGTTTAGTTGTAGGTTTAGGTGTTGTAGGTTTAGGTGTTGTAGGTTTAGGTGTTGTGGGTTTAGGTGTTGTAGGTTTAGGTGTTGTGGGTTTAGGTGTTGTGGGTTTAGGTGTTGTGGGTTTAGGTGTTGTAGGTTTAGGTGTTGTAGGATTAGGTGTTGTAGGTTTAGGTGTTGTGGGTTTAGGTGTTGTGGGTTTAGGTGTTGTAGGTTTAGTTGTAGGATTAGGCATTGTGGGTTTAGGTGTTGTCGGTTTAGGTGTTGTAGGTTTATGTGTTGTAGGTTTATGTGTTGTAGGGTTAGGTGTTGTAGGTTTATGTGTTGTAGGTTTAGGTGTTGTAGGTTTATGTGTTGTGGGTTTATGTGTTGTGGGTTTAGGTGTTGCAGGTTTATGTGTTGTAGGGTTTAGCTGTTGTAGGTTTATGTGTTGTAGGGTTAGGTGTTGTGGGTTTATGTGTTGTAGGTTTATGTGTTGTAGGGTTTAGCTGTTGTAGGTTTATGCGTTGTGGGTTTATGTGTTGTAGGTTTATGTGTTGTAGGGTTAGGTGTTGTAGGTTTATGTGTTGTAGGTTTATGTGTTGTAGGTTTATGTGTTGTAGGGTTAGGTGTTGTAGGTTTATGTGTTGTAGGTTTATGCGTTGTAGGTTTATGTGTTGTAGGGTTTAGCTGTTGTAGGTTTATGTGTTGTAGGGTTAGGTGTTGTAGGTTTATGTGTTGTAGGGTTAGCTGTTGTAGGTTTAGGTGTTGTAGGGTTAGGTGTTGTAGGTTTAGGTGTAGGTTTATGCGTTGTAGGGTTTAGGTGTTGTAGGTTTATGCGTTGTGGGTTTAGGTGTTGTAGGGTTTAGGCGTTGTAGGTTTATGTGTTGTAGGTTTAGGTGTTGTAGGTTTATATGTTGTAGGGTTAGCTGTTGTAGGTTTAGGTGTTGTAGGGTTAGGTGTTGTAGGTTTAGGTGTAGGGTTTAGGTGTTGTAGGTTTAGGTGTTGTAGGGTTAGGTGTTGTAGGTTTAGGTGTTGTAGGGTTAGGTGTTGTAGGTTTATGTGTTGTAGGTTTAGGTGTTGTAGGGTTAGGTGTTGTAGGTTTAGGTGTTGTAGGGTTTAGGCGTTGTGGGTTTAGGCGTTGTAGGTTTATGTGTTGTAGGTTTATGTGTTGTAGGGTTAGGTGTTGTAGGTTTAGGTGTTGTAGGGTTAGGTCTTGTAGGTTTATGCGTTGTGGGTTTAGGCGTTGTAGGTTTATGTGTTGTAGGTTTATGTGTTGTAGGTTTATGTGTTGTAGGGTTAGGTGTTGTAGGTTTATGCGTTGTGGGTTTAGGTGTTGTAGGGTTTAGGCGTTGTGGGTTTATGTGTTGTAGGTTTAGGTGTTGTAGGTTTATGTGTTGTAGGTTTATGTGTTGTAGGTTTAGGTATTGTAGGGTTAGGTGTTGTAGGTTTAGGTGTTGTAGGGTTTAGGTGTTGTGGGTTTAGGTGTTGTAGGTTTAGGTGTTGTGGGTTTAGGTGTTGTAGGTTTAGGTGTTGTAGGTTTAGGTGTTGTAGGTTTAGGTGTTGTAGGTTTATGCGTTGTGGGTTTAGGTGTTATAGGGTTAGCTGTTGTAGGTTTATGCGTTGTGGGTTTAGGTGTTGTAGGGTTAGCTGTTGTAGGTGTATGTGTTGTGGGTTTAGTTGTTGTAGGTGTATGCGTTGTGGGGTTTAGCTGTTGTAGGTGTATGCGTTGTGGGTTTAGTTGTTGTAGGTGTATGCGTTGTGGGGTTTAGTTGTTGTAGGTGTATGCGTTGTGGGTTTAGGTGTTGTAGGGTTTAGCTGTTGTAGGTGTATGCATTGTGGGTTTAGTTGTCGTAGGTGTATGCGTTGTGGGGTTTAGTTGTTGTAGGTGTATGCGTTGTGGGTTTAGTTGTTGTAGGTGTATGCGTTGTGGGTTTAGTTGTTGTAGGTGTATGCGTTGTGGGTTTAGCTGTTGTAGGTTTAGGTGTTGTAGGTTTAGGTGTTGTAGGTTTAGGTGTTGTAGGTTTAGGTTTTGTGGGTTTAGGTGTTGTAGGTTTAGGTTTTGTGGGTTTAGGTGTTGTAGGTTTAGGTGTTGTGGGTTTAGGTGTTGTAGGTTTAGGTGTTGTAGGATTAGGTGTTGTAGGTTTAGGTGTTGTGGGTTTAGGTGTTGTGGGTTTAGGTGTTGTAGGTTTAGTTGTAGGATTAGGCGTTGTGGGTTTAGGTGTTGTCGGTTTAGGTGTTGTAGGTTTATGTGTTGTAGGTTTATGTGTTGTAGGTTTATGTGTTGTAGGGTTAGGTGTTGTGGGTTTATGTGTTGTAGGTTTATGTGTTGTAGGGTTTAGCTGTTGTAGGTTTATGCGTTGTGGGTTTATGTGTTGTAGGTTTATGTGTTGTAGGGTTAGGTGTTGTAGGTTTATGTGTTGTAGGTTTATGTGTTGTAGGTTTATGTGTTGTAGGTTTATGTGTTGTAGGGTTAGGTGTTGTAGGTTTATGTGTTGTAGGTTTATGCATTGTAGGTTTATGTGTTGTAGGTTTATGTGTTGTGGGTTTAGGTGTTGCAGGTTTAGGTGTTGTAGGGTTTAGCTGTTGTAGGTTTATGTGTTGTAGGGTTAGGTGTTGTAGGTTTATGTGTTGTAGGGTTAGCTGTTGTAGGGTTAGGTGTTGTAGGTTTAGGTGTAGGTTTATGCGTTGTAGGGTTTAGGTGTTGTAGGTTTATGCGTTGTGGGTTTAGGTGTTGTAGGGTTTAGGCGTTGTGGGTTTATGTGTTGTAGGTTTATGTGTTGTAGGTTTAGGTGTTGTAGGTTTATGTGTTGTAGGGTTAGCTGTTGTAGGTTTAGGTGTTGTAGGGTTAGGTGTTGTAGGTTTAGGTGTAGGTTTATGCGTTGTAGGGTTTAGGTGTTGTAGGTTTAGGTGTTGTAGGGTTAGGTGTTGTAGGTTTAGGTGTTGTAGGGTTAGGTGTTGTAGGTTTATGTGTTGTAGGTTTAGGTGTTGTAGGGTTAGGTGTTGTAGGTTTAGGTGTTGTAGGGTTAGGTGTTGTAGGTTTATGCGTTGTGGGTTTAGGCGTTGTAGGTTTATGTGTTGTAGGTTTATGTGTTGTAGGGTTAGGTGTTGTAGGTTTAGGTGTTGTAGGGTTAGGTCTTGTAGGTTTATGCGTTGTGGGTTTAGGCGTTGTAGGTTTATGTGTTGTAGGTTTATGTGTTGTAGGTTTATGTGTTGTAGGGTTTAGGCGTTGTGGGTTTATGTGTTGTAGGTTTAGGTGTTGTAGGTTTGTGTTGTAGGTTTAGGTGTTGTAGGTTTATGCGTTGTAGGTTTATGTGTTGTAGGTTTATGCGTTGTGGGTTTAGGTGTTGTAGGGTTTAGGCGTTGTGGGTTTATGTGTTGTAGGTTTAGGTGTTGTAGGTTTATGTGTTGTAGGTTTATGTGTTGTAGGTTTAGGTGTTGTAGGTTTAGGTGTTGTAGGTTTATGTGTTGTAGGTTTAGGTATTGTAGGGTTAGGTGTTGTAGGTTTAGGTGTTGTAGGGTTTAGGTGTTGTGGGTTTATGTGTTGTAGGTTTATGTGTTGTAGGTTTAGGTGTTGTAGGTTTAGGTGTTGTAGGTTTAGGTGTTGTAGGTTTATGCATTGTGGGTTTAGGTGTTATAGGGTTAGCTGTTGTAGGTTTATGCGTTGTGGGTTTAGGTGTTGTAGGGTTAGCTGTTGTAGGTGTATGCGTTGTGGGTTTAGTTGTTGTAGGTGTATGCGTTGTGGGTTTAGTTGTTGTAGGTGTATGCGTTGTGGGGTTTAGTTGTTGTAGGTGTATGCGTTGTGGGGTTTAGTTGTTGTAGGTGTATGCGTTGTGGGGTTTAGCTGTTGTAGGTGTATGCGTTGTGGGTTTAGTTGTTGTAGGTGTATGCGTTGTGGGGTTTAGTTGTTGTAGGTGTATGCGTTGTGGGTTTAGGTGTTGTAGGGTTTAGCTGTTGTAGGTGTATGCGTTGTGGGTTTAGTTGTCGTAGGTGTATGCGTTGTGGGGTTTAGTTGTTGTAGGTGTATGTGTTGTGGGTTTAGTTGTTGTAGGTGTATGCGTTGTGGGTTTAGTTGTTGTAGGTGTATGCGTTGTGGGTTTAGCTGTTGTAGGTTTAGGTGTTGTAGGGTTTAGCTGTTGTAGGTTTATGCGTTGTGGGTTTAGCTGTTGTAGGTGTATGCGTTGTGGGTTTAGCTGTTGTAGGGTTTAGGTGTTGTGGGTTTAGGTGTTGTAGGTTTAGCTGTTGTAGGGTTTAGGTGTTGTAGGGTTTAGGTGTTGTGGGTTTAGCTGTTGTAGGTTTATGCGTTGTGGGGTTTAGCTGTTGTAGGTGTATGCGTTGTGGGTTTAGCTGTTGTAGGGTTTAGGTGTTGTGGGTTTAGCTGTTGTAGGTTTAGGTGTTGTAGGGTTTAGCTGTTGTAGGTTTAGGTGTTGTAGGGTTTAGCTGTTGTAGGTTTAGGTGTTGTGGGGTTTAGCTGTTGTAGGGTTTAGGTGTTGTAGGTTTAGCTGTTGTAGGTGTATGCGTTGTAGGGTTTAGCTGTTGTAGGTTTATGCGTTGTAGGGTTTAGCTGTTGTAGGTGTATGCGTTGCGGGTTTAGCTGTTGCAGACTTTGTGGGCAGCAGCAGCAGAGTGCAGTGTCCCCATCGGCGATGCTCAATCCACTGCTGGATGGAGGCCTCCTGGAACCACCGCCACCTCCACCGCCGCCACCTCGCGACCCTGCGATGTCAACGGGTCCACGCGACTCGGATTCCATCGCTCCATCTCCCAGCGGTGGGAGCCGACTTCCACCAGAACGCAAATTCCGTTCCTTTGAGATGAAAAAAATGCCAACTCTCAATATTTACGCGATCAAACCCAAACAAAAATTACGGATGATATTATTTGGGTCTTTCGGTAAAGTCAACGTAGATAATTAAATACAATTAATTTTTGTATTAATCTGAGACTTATAAAAATAAAGTGAACTTTATAATAAATTGACTTTAATAAAAAAAATGTTTTTACTTAATTTGAACCTATCTACGTGACTTCTGCAGTCACGAAAGCTTGAAGTCAATATTTCTCATGGGTTATATTGGTCGCGAGAGCCCACGTGTTCAACTCTTTACATATTTAGGTGAAGTATGGTCAAACAACCCAGCACCTACGACGCAATTGTGTACGCGAAGACGTCATCACGCATAGAATGACGTCGCCGCGTACCACCGTGGTGACGTCACGCACGGCAAAGACACCCACACCCCTTGCCCTGACGTCATCGCGCACCGCTTCGCACGACAGCAGAGTGACGCGCACGAATGACGTCACCAGGCACGTCGGAAACGACGCGTGACGTCACCGCGTACGCTTGCCGTGATGTCAACACGCCGAGCCACGCCCACTTGCCACGTCTTGCGCGGTGACGTCACCGCTCCCCCCCTCTCCCGCGCCCACAACGCGCGGCTCCCATTGGTCCTCCCCGCGGGGTCACGCGACCTCGACGCTAACGCGGAAGTCGATCGGCGGCGTCTGACGTCATCGTCCGGGTCGCGTCACCTCCATTCATTGGAGGTGGCGCGCGGAATCTTTCCGCGGGTTTGTATCGCGTCACGATCCACGGAATCGATTCCCCGTCCGCTGGGGTTTCCACGTTGAGTGTTCTCATCAGCGAGGTTCGGGCTGCCGCGCCATCACAAACTCAACGCAGCTTTTTTTTTCAACTCAAATTCATCTCACGAGGTAGAAGGCGCACTGAGCTGTGCAGATTAGTTTTTCCTTTAACCCAAAAGCGGCCTGACCACAATCGATGACCCAACAACGTTGGGGCTCATCGTCGCAATGCGCAGATTCATAGCGGCGGCCAAACGCTCTGAGCGCGAGTTGATGTTGATGGTGACTCCAAACGTGGAGGGGGAACCCGGAGGGGCCGCGCAGCGTCCACGCGGAGAGAGACGCGCAAACTCCAAATCTACAGCAGCAGCAGCAGCAGGCGTCAGGGTCGGGATGGAGCCCACGACCTCCTGTACACCAGGCGAGGTAGTCAACATCTCATAGCCACCGTGATGATGATGAGAGAGACACGCAAATCTACAGCAGCAGCAGGCATTGTCAGGGTCTGGATTGAACCCACGACCTCCTGTAGACCAGGCGAGGTAGTCAACATCTCATAGCCACCGTGATGATGATGAGACACGCAAACGTCACATGCAGCAGCAGCAGGCATTATCAGGGTCGTGATGGAACCCACGACCTCCTGTATACCAGGCGAGGTAATCAACATCTCATAGCCACCGTGATGATGAGAGAGACACGCAAACTCCAAATCCACAGCAGCAGCAGGCATTGTCAGGGTCGGGATGGAGCCCACGACCTCCTGTATACCAGGCGAGGTAGTCAACATCTCAGCCACCAAAGTAAACAACAACAAACAACGACAACAACAAACGCGGCGTTGAGTTGCGTCGCGAACACAATGTCCCAGTGTGTGTCGAGCTCTCCGCTGTTTCGTGGCGAGAGATCTTTGGGGTTGAGATGTGTGTTGGGGGTTTGCCGCGTTCCTGCGCCGATTGCTGATGGGACTCCGCTGATCCCGTGAAATAAAGAGCTTCATGGCTCATCGGATTCCTCCTGCAGTCGGAACAAAGATGCTGATGGCGGGACGCAAGACCGCAGTTCTGTTTATGTGACAGCCTCACGAATTGGCTGCCGCGTGGTTTGTCACGTCAACAGAACGTGGACAATTTGTTACTAGTACAGCACTAGTATGTAGTGTAGTGTATAGTGTAGTGTATAATGTTGTGTAGTGTATAGTGTAGTGTTTAGTGTAGTATACTAGTACAGCACTAGTATGTAGTGTAGTGTATAGTAGTGTATAATGTAGTGCAGGGGCGGTTTCTTCATTAGGGCGATTGGGCGACGCACCACCAATGTCATTCAACCACAGAGTCACGCTAGCCGTCACTGTGCCTCTGGATATAGTCCAATCAGCGTCATGTCACGTTCTGTGGAGTACCGCCTCTTTTTGGGCGATTTCACTCCGGCTGAGAATCGCCCCGAGTGGCCCCATAGACTTACATTCAAAGATGTTTATTTTCGACCGGGGGGCGCTGCAATGCATTCTCTATGGCTTCCGGGAGGGCTCGAACGTGCTTACGTCATCATACGTGCTTACGTCATCAAACGTAAGCACGTTTCATCCAACAATATAATTTGTCGCCACCGAGTGGAATCTTTAATAAAAGAAACTTGAGTGGATTGTATTAATAGTGAGTATAGAAACAAACAAGATGTATTGTAAGAGTCACTTTATTTTTCATTAATATTAAAGAAGTGAAGTTGCCTTTACATGCTTAAGCTGTTAATTTATCCATTGCATGGGTGGACCTTATCCTTATCAATCATCCAGACATTTGCCCCCCCTGAGAGATTTTGCAGGAGCCGCCACTGATGTAGTGTATATCTTCTTGGTTCTTTCGGTAAAGTCACGTAGAAGGGAAGTAATAAAATAATAAAATAAAACATAATAAAATAATTTTATAATGTTTTATTTTTATTCTTTTATACGTGACTTTACCGAAACGTGACTTTACCGAAAGAACCAAGAAGATGAATCGCTGCAGTCACGAAAGCTTGAAATCGAAATGTAGTGTATAGTGTAGTATAGTGTGTAGTGTATACAGTAGTGTAGTGTATAGTGTAGTGTATAGTTTAGTGTATAGTCTAGTGTATAGTGTAGTGTATAGTTTAGTGTATAGTGTAGTGTATAGTGTAGTATACTAGTACAGCACCACACCGGTGTGTTAGAGAGCCAAGCCACAACATTTACAATCTAAGTCCGACGTTTCGCCAGTAATCACAACCACCTTCACCAGGCGACAGCCAGAGTAGCGAAAAAACCCAGATTTGCATTCGCCCGTATCGATTCAGGAATCGTTCCGCTTTGTAATCGTTGAATCGATCGGGTGTGCGTGTGAGCGGGGAGTGGGGTTCTTAACGAACCCATCAGCACCATCGCCGCTGCCGCGTCAACTCAAACAAGAGCCCCTCCTCACGACCCTCCACCTCATCTCACGCTCACCGCCGGCCCGTCAGCATCGTCATCATCATCTTGCTGCTGCTGCTGCTGCGGTGGTGGTTGTTGTTGTAAGGGAAGTCTACGAGCAGAGTGAAGTGAACCATGGCGCTTGTTCCCGAGGTGGTGTTCGTGCTGGGAGGACCCGGAGCTGGGAAAGGGACCCAGTGTGAGAAGATCGTCGAGGTGAGGATGAGGTGGTGGAGGTGGAGGGGGTGGTGGTGGAGGTGAGGGAGGGTGGAGGGGGTGGGTGATGTGGATAAGGATAGAGTGGGGTGGTGGAGGTGGTGGTGGTGGAGGTGAGGGAGCGGTGGAGGTGGTGGTGGTGGAGGTGAGGGAGGGTGGAGGTGGATAAGGATAAAGTGCGGTGGTGGAGGTGGTGGTGGTGGTGAGGGAGCGGTGGAGGTGGTGGTGGATGAGGTGGATAAGGATAGAGTGGGATGGTGGTGGTGAGGGAGCGGTGGAGGTGAGGAGGAGGCGGTGGAGGAGGTGGATGATGGATGAGGTGGAGGTGGATAGAGTGGGGTGGTGGAGGTGAGGAGGTGGGAGGGCGGTGGAGGTGGGAGAGTGGTGAAGGTGAGGTAGCGGTGGTGGAGGTGGAGGTGGGAGAGCGGTGGTGGAGGTGGTGGAGGTGGTGGTGAAGGTGAGGTAGCGGTGGTGGAGGTGGTGGAGGTGAGGGAGCGGTGGTAGTGAAGGTGGTGGAGGTGGGAGAGCGGTGGAGGTGGGAGAGTGGTGGAGGTGGTGGAGGTGGTGGAGGTGGGAGCGAGGAGGGGGTGAGAGTCTGGTGCAGGCTGTGTGTGTGTGTGTGACACGTGGTGTGTGTGTGTGACACGTGGGGTGTGTGTGTGACACGTGGTGTGTGACAGTGGTGTGTGTGTGTGTGACAGTGGTGTGTGTGTGTGACACGTGGTGTGTGTGACAGTGGTGTGTGTGTGTGTGACAGTGGTGTGTGTGTGTGACAGTGGTGTGTGTTTGACACGTGGCGTGGTGTGTGTGTGACAGTGGTGTGTGTGTGTGACAGTGGTGTGTGTGTGACAGTGGTATGTGTGTGTGTGACAGGGTGTGTGTGTGTGACAGGGTGTGTGGGTGTGTGTGACACGTGGTGTGTGTGTGACAGGGTGTGTGTGTGTGTGACAGTGGTGTGTGTGTGTGACGGTGGTGTGTGTGTGACACGTGGTGTGTGTGTGTGTGACATGTGGTGTGTGTGTGTGTGACATGTGGTGTGTGTGTGTGTGACACGTGGTGTGTGTGTGTGTGTGACACGTGGTGTGTGTGTGACAAGGGTGTGTGTGTGACAGTGGTGTGTGTGTGACACGTGGTGTGTTGGTGTGACAGTGGTGTGTGTGTGTGAGACAGGGTGTGATGTTGTGTGTGTGACACGTGGTGTGTGTTGTGTGTGACAGTGGTGTGTGTGTGTGACAGTGTGTGTGTGACACGTGGTGTGTGTGTGTGACAGTGTTGTGTGTGTGTGTCACACGTGGTGTGTGTGTGTGTGACAGTGATGTGTGTGTGCGTGTGTTGTGTGTGTGTGACACGTGGCGTGTGTGTGACAGTGGTGTGGTCTTGATGACTCACACACACAGATCCCCGTTGTACGCCCTGAGACTTGTGGTGGGGCAGGAGCTGTTAGAGGAGCGAGTGGCGAGCATCTGTGAAGGTCGCCACGGCGCACGAGGTTGGGTGGGTGACCGGCACCACGCCCGGCCGCCTTTGTCTCCCCCGGTGTCGATGGTTTCCCCTCGTCGCCCCGGGGTAGACTCCCTTGAGGCTGAGTCCAATCTAGGGGGTTCAAACAATCGTCACCGGTGTTGGCCGTGAGCGGGAATCGAACTCGGGTCGCCGGGTTAGTAGGGCAGCGCGCTAACCGCTGCACCACCGCTCCCCTCGCACCCACCGTCACGAAACACCCACAGTCTGGCACGTGTGCCCACCCTCTCGCACCCACGCACGCATTCACACATCACACACACATGCACTCCCACGGACACCTTTACAATCCCTTGCACACCCACACATCACACACCCACACATCACACATCCATGCACTTCCACGGACCACACATCACACACACATGCACTCCCACGGACCACACATCACACACACATGCACTCCCACGGGCACCTTGACCATCCCCACTGTCCTGACTGCCAGGGAAGGGACATTCAGAGACGGTGATGCCTTTATTTACTGTAATCCCAACTTTAATATATCTTTCGGTTGTTTGTTTCTGTTATCTAGGCTGAAACTATCACGCTACAATTTGAAAATCCGGTTTTAATTACATACGGGCCAAAGGCTGACTTAATCGTTTACAAAAATGCTAAATATTTTCTGAAATGTGACGATTGGGACATTCTTCCCTGCATTGCTGATGGCTTACCGCAAACACATCCCGCAAACTGCGGCCTCTCTAATAAACAAACTATATAAAACTACATCCTAGAAGAACTCCTCTTGCCCACCACTCTTGCAACAGCGCGTTAAACCGCTCGACGCAGGGAGTTTTGCGGTTCGAGCACAGCGGCCGCCCTGGTTAATACCGCGGTGCGGATCGACCGTAAAGCACCGATGAATCGGCCGCGATAACACTCGAAAGCTCCGCACCGCTAGATTCATTGCCAGGCAGTCTCCCCCCCCCCCCCAATCCGCGTACTAACCAGGCTGAACCCCCGCTTAGCTCGCCGCGAGCCGGCGCTATTGGGCAAGGTTCCACGTGAATTTGTCGTGGGCGTTGGCTGTGCGAGTCGGGAGGTTATTTGCAGGGAGCGAGAGTCGGGGTGCGCCGTGGCTGCAGGCAAGGGCGGTGTGCGTGCGTGCGTGTCTTGTGTGTGTGTGGATGGATGGATACGACTTCAAAGTGACCAGACGGGTTCGAACTCTTGCGTCCTGTGCAAGTGAACCGCACAGAAACAGGAATGGACACGCTGTGTGGGATGCCATCAAAGGTTCGGATTTTTCGGTCGGTGTTATAGGGTCGGTGTTATAGGGTCGGTGTTATAGGGTCGGTGTTGGGGTCAGAGTCGGTGTTAGTGTCAGGATCGGTGCTAAGGTCAGGATGAGTGTTAGTGCCACAGTTTGGGTGGTTCTGGACTTCATTTGGCAAAATGCCAGCCCTGAGAATTAAAGACTCATTCGATTACCACGACATTTACACTGTGGCTATGCGCGCGTGTGTGTGTGCAAGTGGGTGTTGTGCCGTGTGCGTCTGCATGTCTGTTCTGCCGTGTGTCTGTGTGCGCCCGGTGTGTTTCCACGTCTCTCTCCGTGCGCTGTGAACGTGCGTGCGTCTAAGTGCGCACGTGAAAGTGTTCCGCAGGCCTCTGCACCGCGTGACGCGTCCCCTGTACGTCTGACTAAGTGGCGCGTGCTTTGCTCTGCGCTGTTGAACCCTTGGCAGACCTTTGGCTACACACACCTGTCTGCGGGCGACTTGCTGCGGGCAGAGAGGTCGCGGAAGGGCTCCGAGTTCGGCACCCTCATCGAGAAGTGCATTCGGGAGGGCAGCATCGTGCCGGTGGAGATCACGCTCGCCCTGCTCAAGAAAGTACGGCGCACGTCCCTCGCAGCCGTCCACCCGCTTCCCCGCGGCCCCACGAACCTGTGTCCTCATGTCCCTGCATCCCTGTGTTCCTGCGTACCCACGTATCTATGTACCCATGTACCTGCATCCCTGTGTCTCTGCGTACCCACGTACCTGTGTACCCATGTACCTGCATCCCCACTTCCCCGTGTCCTCACGTACCCAAGGCCTCGCGTCCCCACGTACCCGCGGACCCGTGTCCCTGTGTAGTGTACCCGTGCCCCCCCACGGCCTTCGATGGCCTTCGATGGCCTCAGAGTGGCCTCATTGCCGTGGGTGCTGGCTCCGTGTGTCTCCGATAAGGCCATGATGAACAAACATTTGAGAGAGACACCCATACAGGCCCAGGGCTCGAACCCGTACTCTTCCAAGCGCTGGCTTTGGTTTCGCTGACACGGCCAACTTTGTTGAGCTATCATTCATGGCAGCCAGATTGCTTCTGAAAAACACATTGTCCTGCGGAGGGAGCTGGTAGGAACGTTGGGTTGCTCGGTCAATGGCCAGGGTCAACGGCGGCGTGGTGTATTCCGAAAATATGGCCGACTGTGAGGGCGGACACAAGCCGGCGTGAGTAGGTTAAACGTTGAGTTTTATAAGGGCACCACGGGGTGACCAGCCCCTCCCCACCCAGCCCCACCCCACCCAGCCCCACCCTCCCCACGCAGCCCCTCCCCACGCAGCCCCTCCCCACCCTCCCCACCCAGCCCCTCCCCACCCTCCCCACCCAGCCCCTCCCCACCCTCCCCACCCAGCCCCTCCTTCCCCACCCAGCCACTTTTTTCAAATTTTCTTGCTGTGGATTTTGACACCTGATGATAATTGCTTGTGTTGCAATCGAAACGTCGTGATCATTTTATTGTTTGGTATTTGTATTATTTAATTCTTTCCCTTCTACGTGACTTTACCGAAAGAATCAAGAATATTGCGATTCTGGTAAACCTCCTGAGACCCAGCCTCAACGATGAAACCCAACCCTTTCCCTCCTCCCTTCTCCTCCCCCCTCCCCTCCTCCCCCAGGCGATGGAGGAGACGATGGCGAAGGATCCGAGCAAGAGCCTGTTCCTCGTCGACGGTTTCCCGCGCAACAAGGACAACCTGGAGGGCTGGCAGCGTCACATGGAGGGCAAGGCCAACGTCAAGTTTGTGCTCTTCTTCGACTGCAGCAACGAGGTGAGGCTCTTCGGCTGGAGGAGGAATCCGATGAGCCGTGAAGCTCTTTACTCACAGATGGTCCAAGTAGGGGCGCAGGGGTCAGGGCGTTGCAAACAACGACACAACAACAACAGATGCACGATACGAGTGCAAAGCATAGGGAGGGGAAACAGATCACTTAAACAATACGTTTACACAAATGCAACTCAACTACTACTGTGGTATCTTGCCAGGGAAATCCCACTGAGCTATTAGCTGATTCTTCAGAAAGTTCAGTGTGAACTTGACCCCCCCGCTCCCTCCCACCCCCCCCCACCTCCCTCCCACCCCCTCCCACCCCCTCCCACCCCCCCACCTCCTTCCCACCCTCCTACCCCCCACCTCCCTCCTACCCCCCACCTCCCTCCTACCCCCCACCTCCCACCTCCCTCCCACCCCCACCCACCTCCCTCCCACCCCCACCCACCTCCCATCCACCTCCCGCCCGCCCGCCCACCCACCCCCGCCCACTTTTTCCCTCCCTCCCACCCTCGCCCACCTCCCTCCCACCCCCGCCCACCTCCCACCCACCAACTGCCACCTCCCACCCACCCCCCCCACCTCCCTCCCACCCTCCACCCCCCTCCCACCCCCCCCACCTCCCTCCCACCCCCCCCACCTCCCTCCCACCCGCGCCCACCTCCCTCCCTCTTCCTCCAACCCGGCCTCCAGATTGGCCGAGGCTCCCGCTGGAATCGGCGGCGATGATGATGATGATGAAGTCGTGCGTTGATTGCGGAGCCCACCGGGGACCACATTCCTCATCATCTTCTTTATGCGTCTGTCACGTTCCATGCACTGCTGGATGACCCCCGACCCCCGCCCCCCGGCCGTCCGCTCTCTCACACTCAGGTCTGCATCGATCGCTGCCTGGAGCGGGGGAAGAGCAGTGGACGCTCGGACGACAACAGAGAGAGCCTCACCAAGCGGTGAGAAGTCGCCCCCTTGCGGCTCACCCACTCTAAACTCACCCTCAACTCACCCTCCACTCACCCTCAACCCATCTGTGGTTGGGTCCACCAACCCGCTCCCCCTCCTCCTCCATCCCCGTCTCGGCAGGATCGAGACTTACCTGACGTCCACCAAACCCATCATCGACAGCTACGGCGTGGAGGGGAAGGTCCGCCGCGTCGATGCGGCCGGCACCGTGGCCGAGGTGAGGGCTCCTCCACCCGGCGAGGGGGCGGACGTCGATAAGACTCGGGGCTCGCTCGCAGCGACTCGCTCACAAAGCACGGTCGCTGCGATCGTTGTGCGAGTCTGTGGAGGGTCTCTGCGTGGGTATATCGGTGTCTGTGTGAATCTACGGGTTTGTGTGCGGGTCTGTGGGTCTGTGTGAATCTACGGGTTTGTGTGTGAGTCTGTGGGTCTCTGTGTGTATCTATGGGTTTTCGTGTGAGTCTGTGGGTCTGTGTGTGTATCTATGAGTTTCTGTGTGAGTCTGTGGGTGTGTGTATGCATCTATGGGTTTATGTGTGAGTCTGTGGGTCTGTGTGTGAATCTGAGTTTCTGTGCGAGTCTGTAGGTGTCTGTGTGTATCTATGGGTTTCAGTGTGAGTCTGTGGGTCTGTGTGTGTATCTGTGGGTTTGTGTGTGAGTCTGTAGGTCTCTGTGTGTATCTATGGGTTTTCAGTGTGAGTCTGTAGGTCTCTGTGTGTATCTATTGGTTTTCAGTGTGAGTCTGTAGGTCTCTGTGTGTATCTATGGGTTTCAGTGTGAGTCTGTGGGTCTCTGTGTGTATCTATGGGTTTATGTGCGAGTTTGTGGGTCTCTGTGTGTATCTATGGGTTTTCAGTGTGAGTCTGTGGGTCTGTGTGTGAATCTATGGGTTTCTGTGCGAGTCTGTGGGTCTCTGTGTGTATCTGAGTTTATGTGTGAGTCTGTAAGGTCTCTGTGTGAATCTATGAGTTTGTGTGAGTCTGTAGTTGTCTGTGTCGATCTATGGGTTACTGTCGAACCCTCGACCTCCTGTATACCCGGCGAGGTAGTTATCGCGTGGTAAGCATTCGTAACAAGCGGCGTTGTCAAGGTGTTCACTCTCAATCATTGACGAGCGTACCCATGGCCTTTGACCCTCTGTCCTCTGTCTGCAGGTGTTTGCCGAAGTCAAGAAAGTGTTCGGGAAGAAGTGAGACTGCCCCAGTGCCACTCGGAGCGTGCAGAGTCCAAGGCAGTTGTGAAACTCGGCTTGTTTAATTTCTTCACTTTTCTCTCTCTCTCCTCTCCCCTGGGTCGTCGTCGCTTTCTCGCAAAATGGGATGCTACGAACGGTGAATGACGGTGGTGGTGATGGTGATAATCATGCGATCATTTTTTTAATTCAGGGAAGTAACATTCTGAAGAAGTGTGCGTGAGTGAGTGTGCGCGTGCGTGCGTGGTGGCGTTGGCTGTGACGGTCGCTTGAACTTGTTTGCTTGGGAACATCGTCGCGATCGTCAACATCATCAATATATTTATCACGGTTAGCTAGGTACGGTGCGAATGAAGTTCTACGTACATACACGATCAACGTCACCCTCAACAAAGACAACACCACCAACATCCTTAACATCGTCGTCAACATCATCGTCGTCAACATCATCGTCGTCAACATCGAAACGTCAGTCGTCGCGACACCGTAGAAAGCGCTGTGCCCAGCGCTCGCGTTTCTACACCGGCGCTGCCCGACATCACGACCTCACGCACCTGCAGCTCGGCACAGAAACCCCCCCCCCCCACACACCTCCTTCGCTCCAAACACCGCCTTAGGATCCCGAAAGAGCCGAGCTTTCAGCCGCAACGGGCACGTCCACAACAACTCGCTGGGGCGCGGCAGATAAAGCGGCCGCGTCCGCGGATCGTGTCGTGCGATCGATCCCGAGAAGGCGGCCTGGGTCACGTGACAGGTGGCTGGGTCAGGTGACGGGTGGCTGGGTCACGTGACGGGTGGCCGGGTCACGTGACAGGTGGCTGGGTCACGTGACGGGTGGCTTGGCCGCGGGGCCCCGGGGCTTGGCGTCTGTATGTTTAGCCGCGTGCTCCGAACGTAGTCATCGTTATGTTTCGTTCCGCGTCAAGGACTCGCAATGCGATGGAAAAATAAAAATAGAAATCACGGAATTAACAAATTGGGTGTTAACCCCAGCGGGGCCCGGGGTGGCTCCGACGGCCACAGACGCTGAGAGGCTGAGGGGCTGAGAGGCTGGGTTCCAACCCGGGTCTCAGCCACCCACCCTTAGTGATTGCACCACAGCTGATGGTCTCACCTGTGACTGACACAGAGACCCATAGACTCACATAGAGATCCATAGACTCGCATAGAGATCCATAGACTCACATAGAGACCCGCAGACTCACAGAGAGACCCACAGCCTCACACAGAGACCCAGAGACTCGCATAGAGATTCATAGACTCACACAGAGACTCATAGACTCGCACATAGAGACCCATAGACTCGCATAGAGACTCATAGACTTATATAGAGACCCGTAGACCTGCATAGAGATTAAAGCCGATCACCAATGACTGCACAATTACATTTTTAGTTTTTTTTTTATTGTTGCTTAATTTGGCCAAATTGCAGCTCGGAGAATGACAAATATCAGCTTTGACTGCCATGCAACGCTACTCATCATATCAGGGCACGGTGGTGGGTACTGCCCCTTCGTGTGTGTGTGTGTGTCAAGAGCTATCACTTGAAAGGAACTGCAGAAGGCGTTCCGCAGTTTTGAGAGTGAGCCATGAGCTGCACTCCCAGAGTTTCCGTCTCGCGGTCGATGCAAAGACGATGACGACGACGCCGCATCGTAACACGCCGTTGTAAGAAGACATTCCCCCCCCCCCCCCCCGGAGCCTTTGACGCAACACCCTCTTTCAGATCCGCTCGCTCTGCTGGCCCCGCGAGGCACACACACACACGTGTGTGTCTGTTGAACTTCTTTCACCCATGTGACTCGGGGGCCAAGCAGGGCCAGGCGAGGGGGGGGGGGCGGCATCCAGCGAGTTGGAGGGGCAATTAAATACCGCCCGCGTGTGTTGTGTGTGTGCACTCCATGAACCCGGCGGCCCGAGTTCGATTCCCGCTCATGGCCAACGCCGCCAGTGATCATTATCTGAACTGGTCCTGGGCCTCCCCTAGATCGACTCGGCTGCAAATGTGTGTAAAATCATCGCCACTCGGGAGACGAAGGTGGTCGGGCGTGGTGCTGGCCACCCTCCCCCTTCGCGTGCCGCTGCGGGCTTCACAGGTGTTACTCGCCCCAACAGTCGGTTAAGGCTACACGGGGGGGGATCTTTGTCTTCTTTGTGTGAATGTGCCGGGGCTGGCTTGGCACGGCACCGGCACGGCTCGGGTGCGCCAGTGGAAAGAGAGGTGTCGGTGGACGGTTCGAATCGCAGGGGGTTTACCCAAGCCCTCGGGCGGTGACGTCCGCTTTCCCAGCGTGCGTGCGTCGCTCGCTCTGCGCGTGGCGTCCGTGGTTCTTCTCGTGTTTATATTTTGTAGCGTTTTTGTTGGGTGGCCTTCGTGTCCCACCTTCGACAACTCTTCTTTGGCTCGCGGTTTTTAGTTTAGTTTTTTTTTCCTGCCGGTGGTCACGTACGGATCTCCTTGATTTGTTTCGTCGCGGCGATTTGAAATCGCTCCTGCGTCTTGTTCTTCTTTCTCAGTCCCCGTCGTCAGATCGTGTCGTTTCCTCGCAACGTATTTGGTGCAAATAAAGGTGGCGGTGACGGTGGTCGCGGTGAGACGATGTCGCTGGTGTTGGCACGATGCGGTTGAGCGGAGTGCGCGCTCCTTCGGCGGAGGAGGAACGGCAAAACGACACCGACTCTCAACTCGTGACGCCCTCTCGTCGCGGTGAGAAGACCTCGACATTGACATCTCGCTCTTGAACGTCAATCTCTTGAAGGTCTCGCTGATGAATATCGAACTCAACGCTTAGCTCCTGCACATCCAATGGTGGAGCCAGGATTTTCAGGTAGAGGGGGGGGACAGCCCCTCCAGCAATGAGAAATGATAGAGGAGTTGTTAGCAAGTGACGACTTGTCCCTTGGTTTTCATTCGACGCGTGTGCGGCGATGGCGCGGCCATCGATTGAGGGTGGAATTGGAACGGCGTCGTGTGATCGGCATCGCGCTCGCTGCAGCTGCTGACGCCTCCAGGGAAGTCGTGGGCTGGACACGCAACTGCGCACAATTCTGTGAGTCACTTATAGCCGCTTTGCCCTTACTTATTGACAATTATGGACTCAGACTATTGTCCTATCATCTCATCGAGTCCCTGGCACGTAGTAATATGCTACAGTGGCAGTGGGGGTCGCAAAATGCTGATTTATTACTAATAAACCCCAATGATCCGATCGAAATTAGGGATTTCGATCGGATCATTGGGGGGGGGGGGCACGTTCCACCCCCCTCCGCCAGCGTGCAGCACATCTAGCATCATGAACGCCTACCCCCTGAACGTCTTTCGCATGAACGCCTACCCCCTGAACGTCTTTCGCATGAACGCCTACATCCTGAACGTCTTGCGCATGAACGCCTACATCCTGAACGACCGGGCGGCAGAGTGAAGCCCTCAGTCTCAGAGGTCACGAGTTTCAAATCCCTTTTTGGGCGTAGACTCGGCCCCCACCATCATCCCTCCGGGGGGTCGATAAACCGAGCACCACTTTGTTGTTGTGAAGTCTACAGGCGGTTGTTCCTTACGGTGGGGACTCGCTCCCGTCCATAGGAATGTGGATTTTCCACCACAATGAGCAGCAGGAAACTGGTGTGTTGGGGGGGTGTTTTATATTCCGGAGAAGACGGTGGCCTGCGACTACTTGGGAGCGCGGGCGACGTCAACTCCCTGTGAACGTGCGAATAGCGCAGCCGGGCGGGAGTTCACGGCGTTCGTCAGTCGCTGTCAACGTCGCTCTTCATCAAGTCCACGTGCTTGTACTCGTGGGTCACGGCCGGCTGCCTGAAGGTTCCGTCTAACTGGGCTGGAGCGGCGCAGGATCTTATTGCCTGTCGTCCGTCCAAGGACGATAGCACTGACGAACTTGATCAGGTTGTTGATGAGATCGCCATCGACCAAGACGACTGGGCGAGGAGGTTATGGTTCTTTCGGTAAAGTCACGTAGAATGGAAATAATAAAATAATAAAAATAAAACATAATCAAATAATTCTCACGACGTTTCGGCCACAACGCAAGCAGCCGTCCTCAGGTGAAGACCAGGTCTGTCGGGGAGACAGCATCTGAATGAAACAGCACCGTGCTTGGAGCGTATATTTAATCTGGGTTGGAAGGGGGGGGGGGGAAGGGCGCCTTGACAAAATAATTTGCGTATCAAGAGGAATTTAGCATATTTATGGGAAATGCAGGTATGTGATTAGTACTACTTATGCCCGTGCATTATGCAGGATTAGCAGCATCAAAGGGAGGGGATATGGGAAATGCAGGTATGTGATTAGTAGTACTTTTACCTTACCTTGCCGAGGCCTACCCACCCCACCCACCCAGCCCCTCCCCACCCTCCCCTCCCCACCCAGCCCCTCCCCACCCTCCCCAGCCAGCCCCTCCCCACCCTCCCCTCCCCACCCTATCCCTCCCCACCCTCCCCACCCAGCCCTTCCCTGCACGACGGACGGACACAATAATCCCCTGTGGGTTGGTGTGACCAGGAGGTTCCTACCAGTATGACATTTTTGTATGGCTCAGACGTATGCCAAGGAGGAGTTTGGCAAAGGAAACGAAGCAATTCCTAACGAGTGACACGTGGGGCCGCTGTAGCTGCACGTTATCAATCACCGTGGTGGGGAAAGTCCGGGCCGCGAAATCATTTGTGTCTGGCCCTGCCAAGGCAACCGGGGGCGGTACTCGAAATTCAAGAAATCTCGGAGCAAACCTGGAAAAGCAGCGAACATCATCACGCCTCGCCAAAGAGAAGCAGTTCCAGCCGTCGCATTAGGGGCGAGTTCATTACACGTTTGAGCAGATTTCACGGGCTAATTTTTAAGTTGATAATTTTGTATGGCCCTCGCTGTTTGGAGGGATGAGGGAATGGTTTGTTGGTGTGTACCAGAGCAAGATTTGTGTGACTCTATCCGGAATCAGAATCTTAATTTATCCTGGAGAAATCTGGTGAGATATGAAGCTATTTCACCCCCTCCCACAGATGTTCCGTATTCAATCAGTCAAAGTGTATTGGTCGCATACACAGTGAAGCTGAACATTGCAATAGAATGTCTAACGAATACACAGCAACAATTAAAGACAACAAAATCACGAAACATACGAACGAATCCAAATGACAACCAAGTAACGTTTTAACAACAATCCAAATAACAATCTGTGCATATTTGCATGGGATGTATGAACACACGCATATATATACTGTGAATGATCTGTGCAGCAATCGATATGAGAGTGAGCTTTGTCGAGTACACGGTATGTAAATACGCAGTGTATCGAAACAATGTTCACATTGTGTCCAAAGTGCAAAGTCTCGATATTCATAAGACAGCAGCATGGACTGTGTGTGTGTGAGTGAGGGTGTGTGTGTAGCAATGTGTGTGTAGCAGTGTTTGTGTGTTTGTGAGTGATGGTGTGTGTGTCCGGCAGGCAAGGCTGCGTTGGCTGGGCCATGTAGCCCGCATGCCCAGCCACCGCATGCCGAAACAGCTTTTGTTCGGCCGGATCGAGGGGGCTAGACGGGCGCGGCACGGGCTAGAGAAGAGATGGAGTGATATGGTACAGGAGGACGTGGAGCTGAGTGGACTTGTCGATGACCGGTACCAGCGGTGTCAAGATCGGCCTCAGTGGAGGAGGCTCGTGAAGGACGCTACTGGGCAGTTGGAGGCAGTCGCCCTCCAACAACAACGGAGGGCGGAGGAGCGACGCTCACAACAACGAGCGGAGCGCCGGGTGGCTAAAACACAGCAAGTTGGTACAGTAGGGGGCACAGGTGGTGAATCAGCCAGTCATCTCGGTCATCTCGGTCAGTCGACCCGTGGCTCCTGCTGGGTCTGCCCCGTGACCTCCTGCCGGCGGGCGTTCGACACTTCACGTGGCCTCAAGGTGCACCTAGCCTGGCACAAGCGTCGTGGTGACGTCACCGCCACTTAGTGGCGAATGGCGGTCGTTGTTGTTATTGTTTTAAAATAATAGTGATTTAAAATAATAGTCAGATTAATCGTCACTGTGGTGTTGGCCGTGAGCGGGAATCGAACTCGGGTCGCCGGGTTCGTAGCGTTGCGCGCTCCCCCCCCACATCCCCCCCCCACATCCCCCCCCCCCACATCCCCCCCACATCCCCCCCCACATCCTCCCCACCCCCTTCCACCCCTCCACCCCCCCCACATCCCCCCCCACATCCCCCCACCCCTCCCCCCACACATCCCCCCCAATCCCCCACCCCCTCCACCCCCCTCCACACATTCCCTCCCCCCCCACATCCCCCCAACCCCCTCCACCACCCCCCTCCTCTTCTCCCCACCCCCTCTCACCCTCCTCCCCCCACCCCTCCCCCTCCTGCCCCCACCCCTCCTCCACGCAAAGTGTATTGGTTGGCCATGTTTGTTTGTTGTAGTACAGAGTTAGACTGATGGCCTTAATCTAAGTTGTCTTGTGGTTGTTGTTGTTGTTTGACTTGCATCCCACTGGGATGTTTGCACACAGCGTTGGTGTGCGGTGATTTTCTGCAATATTTTGCCGTCTTTTCTTGGATTTTCTGTTTGCACTTAGTCACATATTCACTTCAAGATGTTTTATTTTTGTTTGTTGCGGTTGCACCCGATTCAAGAGCCGAATGGCTCACAGGGAAATACCTAATCACTGAACTTGAACGCGCCTCTCCTCCTCCCACCCCGCCCCCTCTCACCCCCTCCCCCCACCCCTCCTCCTACCCCGCCCCCTCCCCCCACCCCCCACCCCTCCTCCCCCACCCCTCCCCCCACCCCTCCCCCTCCTCCCACCCCCCCACCCCTCCACCCCCCCACCCCTCCTCCCCCCACCCCTCCCACCCCCCACCCCTCCTCCCCCCACCCCTCCCCCTCCTCCCCCCACCCTTCCACCCCGCCCCCTCCTCCCCCCACCCCTCCCACCCCCCCACCCCTCCTCCCCCCACCCCTCCCCCTCCTCCCCCCACCCTTCCACCCCGCCCCCTCCTCCCCCCACCCCTCCCTCCCCACGTGACGCCGCTATAAACCCGCCCCTCGGCCTGCGAGGCCGAACGGGAAGCGCCAGCAGCAGCAACAACAACAACAGCAGCAGCAGTCGTCAGCAGCAACAACAACAACAGCAGCAGAAGCAGCAACAACAACAGCAGCAGCAGTCGTCAGCAGCAGCAACAACAACAACAGCAGTAGCAGCAGAAGCAGCAACAGTAGCAGCAGCAGCAAGAAGCAGCAGCAGGAGGAGCTGCTGCTGCAGGCGGCGGCTTCTTCCCCACTTGTCAAGGTCCGGGTTCAGACCCCGTAGCCCGCGTTCACATGCACGTGCGTTGCAGAGCGATGGCGGTGGTGGTGGTGGGTGATGGTGGTGGGTGATGGTGGTGGTGTTTCAGTATGATGGTGGTGGTGTTTCAGTATGATGGTGATGGTGTTTCAGTATGATGGTGATGGTGGTGATGATGGTGGTGTTGTTTCAGTAGGATGGTGGTGGTGTTTCAGTATGATGGTGATGGTGGGTGGTGGTGGTGTTTCAGTATGATGGTGGTGGTGTTTCAGTATGATGGTGGTTGATGGTGA